AGTCACTTGAATTCTGTAGTGTAGATTAAATCAGATTAAACCATGTTTTTATAAAGCTGCCATGACACGCTTTGATTTTGATTTTACTTTTTGCTGTTTCCTGTAGAGTTTAACAAGTTATGATGTGTGCAGCATCTTTCTGGGAACGTCTACRTTACTGGTGTGGGTTGGAGTGATCAGGTACCTGGGATACTTCCAGAAATACAACGTGAGTCCAAGTTAGTTTGTATTTGGTGTGTGCAGGATTTTGTAAAGAAGCTTTTATGATCACCAAAGATGAAATGTAAACTTTTATCTAGATATTGGATGGAATAACGAAACATCTGCATGTTTATTCAGGTTCTGATTTTAACCATGAAAGCAGCCTTCCCTAAGGTCCTACGTTTCTGCTGCTGCGCTGGCATGATCTACCTCGGTTATACTTTCTGCGGGTGGATCGTTCTGGGGCCGTACCACGAGAAGGTAACTCTTTATTTTTTTTAATAGCAGAGGCAGTGGAAACCTGAGGGGTTTGATTTAATGCTCGTCTGACTCATGTTGTGAGAGGTGTGAGCAAGATGGCAACTGTGGAGTCTCTGTTTGGAGTGACTGGCTCTGTTTGTTCATGCAGAACCGCTGAGACCACGAGGTAGTGGGAAGGAACTCCAAATGTACGTCTCCAGTTCCTGTAGATAAAATGTTGTTCAATTAAACTTAATTTGAAATAAAAGGTATTCTTTTAAAAAAGTTCTTTAAGTTAAAGTTTTTCTTTATTTGGTCTAAGAAACATGTTTTACAAAAGCGTTTTAATTACCCAATATCCTGAGTTAACTCTACGTTCGTTTTGCTTAAACTTTGTGGGTTAAATTCCTGAATCTAGCTTATTGCTTTTACACACCAAAATAAATAGTTAGTTAGTTAGTTTATTCATTTCTTAAAAAAAAAACAACATAAATTCAACATACAACAAAAATACAAATTGTAAATTAAATGGAATAGATGTGATAGACGCCGTCTACAATATGTTAGTTTGAAAACAAAGCTACTGTAGTGTTTACAAATGAGTAACTCTGAGCTGTGATTCTGCAGTTCTGTGTGCAACCATGGTCAACGTTGAAAAATGCTGACCCAGCAAAATGGTTGTTTCCTGCTTGTGGATTCTGACTAGCTTTAATTTGATGTTTTTTTTTAAGGTGAAATGGCTGATATGACACAGTTATACTAGTCTCACAATTTAAAAGATAAATTAATAAAAGAATATAAAAGAATAAAGCAAAAGCAAAAGACTTTTTTCCTGTTCTGATGTATTTTACAGTGAGGGGAAAACAAGGAGTACTAAGTTAAACACAGCAAAGTAAGAATATGAAGTTTTTTTGGCACAAGATTTTTTATTTTTATTTTTGGTCATCAAAGTTAATTTATTTGATGTTTCTTACGGATGCAATTTTAATCTCTGAATTAATGTTTAACAGTGGAATTTACTCTATAATACTGATAACTTGTGTGGTTTAGTTTTGTCAAAGCTGTCATGCCTTGGATTTGCGGCAACTTTTAACTTCTTGAACTTGTGTTGCTTTTGTTTTTATTTTTATTTTAATAGTTGTATAGCTGCTTCAACAATATCTGCTTCAAATAGATGAAAACAGAATATGCACTTAAAGGGCTGTAATACAATGAGGTGGCCACTAGGCGTCAGTGTGGTTTGCAATGATCTCATTGTAAGAAACTGCTAAAATCCGGATGGACACAGTTTGGAGCACATTGTACCCTACTTGCTTTAAATATTTATTTTTTTTTTTACATTTTGAATCAGAATAAAATGAGCAGAATCTATTTTTACTCTGCAGTAGTTAGTGGGAGAAAATTTGAAGAAAACTGAAAACTCAATGTTTAAATTTTTTGAACCACTTAAGCACCAAAGAATTTGATTGTTTCAGCTGGTCTGAAACAACTCTTTTACAGCAAATGAAAGTTGGTAACCTTGAACTGACGAGGCATAATTAGTGTTAATACATCATGATACAGAAACATTTAGTCATTGATTAAAGGCGTCCGGGGTGCAGCTGGAGGGTTTTGGACCCACGATGTAGGAAGATGTGGATAATTCACCTTTCCCACACATTTGTCTGTTTCCATCTAACATGGTAAACAAATAATCAGAAACGACTGCGTCACAAGAATTACAGATTTGTTTTTTTTTTATTCTTGAAATAAAGTTTTTCATCAGCTGTGTGTACGTGGCAGCTTTTTGTTTCACTTTCCACACTTTGCCTCAGAGGAGCAGCACATATCGATACTCCCAACAGGACATTAGATGATGGCGGTGGAGAGTCCTCCTGTAGTGCGTTGTCAGCCCCCTGAGTCCTCCCAGAATCGTATTTACTGAAGGAATAAACAAGGAACGTCCCAAAACTTGACTTCCCACACGTCTTCACGTGGAGTGCCTCGGGTCCATACAAGGATGTTGTTTTTCAGATGTTATCATATTTCAAGTGGAACGTGGCTTCTTTCATAATGTACGTGTCATGCTTACAGGCTCTCCCTGCTGAACATTTTGTTTGTTTGTTTGTTTTGTTTTGGTGGGGTTCTCATTGTTTTGTTTAACTCCTGGTCATTAATCTGTCCTCTACACCTCAACTTTAGTCACCTGCCTCCTTATAGTTTTGTTTCATTCAAAGACATCTGGAAACCAAAGTTTTTGTTTTGGGAAAAGCAAAACCTGACAATTTAAACTTTGCTTCCTTTAGATTTTTTTTTTTTTACTTAAAAATTTGATTTATTTGAATGTATTCTCTTTTGTGAGCTGCAGCCATTAACCAGATTAGAAACGACTAGTTTATTAGTGTTTRTTGGTATGAAATAATCTGAGAATATTGTACTACTCCAGGTTTTTCATAGATTTGAGTTTTTATGTGGGCCACAAAATGTAAGAAAACAAAGTTTTTCTTAATAACTTAACAGAATCACAAGTAAAACAATCAGAAAATCAGAAGTATAGCAGTTTTTTCTTAAATATGTCCTTGTCTTGCACTGACATCCCTCCTGTTTCTCTTCAGTTTGAGGGCCTGAGTCGGGTYGCGGAGTGCCTGTTTTCTTTGCTGAATGGTGACGACATGTTCACCACCTTCGCCAAGCTGAAGGATAAAAACACTTTAGTTTGGCTGTTCAGCCGAGCGTACCTCTACTCCTTCATCTCCCTCTTTATCTACATGGTGCTGTCGCTCTTCATCGCCCTTATCACTGACTCCTACGAGACCATCAAGGTAAATCTAAGTAACGGGAAAACTGTTGCACTTCATGGGGTTGATAAAGCGAGACTGACGTCATGCTGGATGTGACATCATTCCCAGATCTAAATGACAAATTTGATCAAGTTCTTGGTAGAAGTCGRGGGAAACCAGCTAATGTTTCTGCTCAGTGGACAGGCTAGCTGCTGTTAGCAACACAAGCCTACAGTCTGTTTTACTGTTTGTTGTAGAAGTTGGACAGTAGGCCTACATTTTCTGATAACTTGTAGACTATGACGTGCTTGCTTTTGAAATTTACAATTTTTTAAATGAATTTAATAGTTTATTATCCCAAATATYCCTGTGGTCTTATTGGCTACACATCTAAATGCAGGTTTTGTGTTGGAAACGATCAAATCAAAAAAATAGGTTGTGAGCCTTTCATAAATGCTAAGACTCCTACACTAATATGAGAAACCTTTTTTTAGCTAATGCTTGTTCTCAAACTACTTATTTGCCTTTCAGCAGACAGTAATTTCAAAGTCTATTTGCATCAAGAGGTTAGGACTAAAACTTTTAGGACAGTTGTTGAAAAAATAAAAATGTATAGTTTGTCATCTCTCAAACATTGCAAAGGACAACCACTAAATCTTCAAAGTGGACAAAAACATTTTACAGTGAGGAGAAATTTTGATTTTAAGAATAAACTAGACCATTTATTTAAAAAATGTTAACGATTCAACACAAAATGTGAGAATAGATTTACAGCGGGTAAAATACAGTTGTGGTCAAAAGTTTACATACACTTGTAAAAAAACATAATTTTATGGCTGTCTTGAGT